AGGGACGGATCTGGGCCTCTTGGGCCCGTGCGGGCGCGGAGGAGAAAGAAGGCCGGCGGTGGTGATGTGGCGGCGGCGGATTGGCTGGAGGCGGCGGCGGAGCTAAGGTGGCGGATGCTGATTGGGCAGAGCGAGGTGGCCGGCGGACATGTCCGGCGCGGACGGACGTGTCCGGCGGCGCAAGGAGGATGGAGGCTAGGGTTAGGGTGGATTTGATCCGTGAATTTTGGGGGAGGGGACCTATTTATAGATAGAGGGAGCTAGGAGAGTCCAAATGAGGTGCGGTTTTCGTCCACACGATCGTGATGGAACGACCGAGAGCATGGAAGTGACTTAGATGGGTTATTGGGCTGTGGGAAGAGGTGTTGGGCTTCACACAAGAGAGGCTTTTACGGCTACCCGGTTAACCATTGGAGTATCAAACGGACTCCAAATGGCACGAAACTTGACAAGCGGTCTACCGGTGGTATACCAAGGCCGCTTGGCAAACCTCGGGCCATTTCGAGAAAGTTTAACACCCGCAAATGAAAAGAGGCAAAAGGGGGACGCCGGAGGAAATAGGAGTGTCGGATTGCAAAACGGACAACGGGGAAAAAGCTCGGATGCATGAGACGAACACGTATGCAAAATGAGATGCACATGATGACATGGCAAAATGCAACACGCAAGCAAATGACATGGCAACAACGACGAATAACTGGAAGACACCTGGCGCATCGAATCCGGGGCGTTACAAAGTCCATGGATGAGAATCAAGTCTGGGACTTGGCTGATCCGCCACCTCGCGTAACTGCCATTGGTTGCAAATGGGTCTTTAAGAAGAAAACCGATGTGGATGGAAATGTTCAGATCCACAAAGCTTGGCTTGTCGCTAAAGGTTATGGACAAGTTCAAGGAATTGACTACAACGAGACTTACTCGCCGGTAGCGATGCTGAAGTCGGTAAGGATCATACTAGCTATAGCTGCATATTTCGATTACGAGATATGTCAGATGGATGTCAAGATGGCTTTACTTCACGGAAATTTAACTAAGGATGTGTATATGATACAGCCAGAGGGTTTTGTTGATCCGACTAGTGCTAGTAAGGTATGCAATCTCAAGAGATCCATTTATGGGTTGAGGCAAGCTTCTCGGAGCTGGAATATTCGTTTTGATGAGGTCGTCAATGGTCTCGGTTTCAATAAAAGCAAAGAGTACGCTTGTTTATACAAGAAGTTAAGTGGGAGCTCGATAGTATTTTTGATCTTGCATGTGGATGACATACTAATGATCGAAAATGATGTGTTGATGCTGAACTCGGTCAAGGAATCATTGAATGGCAAGTTTTGAATGAAGGACCTTGGTGAAGCAGTTTACATTTTAGGCATCAAGACCTATAGAGATAGATTGAGGAGGCTGCTTGGCCTAAGCCAGAGCACGTACATAGATAAAGTGTTGAAGTGGTTCAACATGAGTGAGGCGAAGAAAGGGTTCTTGCCACTCTCACATGGTATAAGGCTAAGTGAGACTCAGAGTCCTTCGACATCTAATGAGCGAAGCAGGATAAGTAGGATTCTGTATGCCTCGGCAATTGGATCCATCGTGTATGCCATGATATGTACAAGGCCTGATGTTGCTTTTGCAATAATCCTAACAAGTAGATACCAGGACAACCCAGGTGAGAGTCACTGGGCAACGGTAAAGACTATTTTGAAGTACCTGAAAAGGACTAAAGAGATGTTCCTAGTTTATGGAGGTGAGGAGATCTCGTCGTAAGGGGTTACGCTGATGCTAGTTTCCAAACCAACAGAGATGATTGTCGATCACAGTCTAGATTCCTGTATGTCATGAACGGAGGGGCAGTGAGCTGGATGAGTTCCAAGCAAGATACGGTGGCTGATTCTACCATAGAAGCCGAATACAATGCGGCTTGTGAAGCTGCAAAGGAAGGTGTTTGGATCCGGCATTTTCTGGATGATCTTGGTATTTTCCCAGCCTCGGTAAAACCGTTGGACCTTTATTGTGATAATTTTGGTGCCATCGCACAAGCCAAGGAGCCGAGGAATCACCACAAGGTCAGACACATAGATCGGAAATATCACCTGATACGAAAGATCGTAAAGAATGGTGATGTAGACTTATGCAAAATTCACACGGATGCAAATGTTGCAGATCCGTTGACTAAGCCGCTTCCACAACCCAAGCATGAGGGGCACGTTAGAGCTATGGGCATTCAATGTCTATTTGATTGACTCTAGTGCAAGTGGGAGACTATTGGAGATATGCCCTAGAGGCAATCATGTATGATGATATTTCCTATGTGTTTATGAATAAAGATAGTCCTTGGACATTATCAATCATGTGTATCAGCAAGTATGTGACTTGTTTGTGGGACTATGCATTGTATGATGACTGTCCTAAAAGGTCCCTAGGTTAAAGTGTTGTGTGGATTGCCCAGCCGACTAGACTAGCATATGACACGGTCGATGGCTTGGTCTCACTAGCCATGGAGCATTGGATGCTAACCGGATAATATGGACTTGGAAAGGTCTGGTCGGATTCGACATAGTCGGATCCAAGTCAAGATAAGGTCCAAGTCGGACAGACCCAACTATCAGACGCAGCGATATGTCATCTGTGAGTCTCTAGTACAACATAAATTCTATGTCCTAAGACCTGAGCTGGGACATGTACTCGGGATGGTGATAGACCTACTTTGGGCCGACCAAATGCTACTCCGTAACTAGGTAGTTACAAAGGTAGGTTTCAAGCTTGTCCACACCCATGCTGCGAGACGTGGTCGAGCAAGATGGGATTTGCCCCTCCGATTAGGAGAGATATACTCTAGGCCCCTCGTGTGATCCGACCAGGATAAGCATGGCCATGCGACAAGGATTATGAGATAATCCGGTTTGTGGTCGGTATCACTAGAACGAGAAAGAGGTCGGGCTAGCATAAGGATGACAATCTCGCCTTGAGCCCGAGAACATATATCATGAGGCAAAGGAACAGAAGTGTGACACGTTGTACAGGTTCACCTAACCAGCTTCATAGTCTGCTTGGTGGTCGGCACTCCTTGCTAGAGGCTGCTAACAACCAAGCCGAATTGAATCTAAGGGGTCGCGCGCTTAAGGGAAGGAACCTACGAGGTCGGTTCAGAGGACACTGGTCGGATGTGATCCGAGCTGGACTTGGAACGCGACCGAGTAGACTTTGGGCTTTAGGGTCTGTGCGAGGCCCAAGTGTTGAGCCTGCGACGGATGCCTATATAAAGTGGAGGTGCGGCACACTCATGCGATTGATCGCTTCGGCGCTGTCACTAGGGTTTGCATGTGTTGCGAATAGCCACCTCCACTCGCTGCCGACTGTATGATCGGACCTAGCAGTCCGCCGCACGATGTTCCTCCTGCACGCGCGAATACCATTAGAGGCGGTGCACTTGCTCTGCTCCGACAAACTTGTACGTGGATCGGACGACCGGCTGTTCGAGGGAGATCGGACGAGGAGGAGACGATCCACGTGGACGTGCTGCCCCAACTCTTCTTCCGCTGCACGGCACTGCGCGTCTAGTGGTAACAAACTGTGATCCATCTCTCGTAGCATGTTCTTGGTTGTTCTGCGCGTAGGAAATTTTAATTTGCAGTCGACGCACCCTACCGTAGATCCCAACAAGAAGACGCAGACCAAAATACCCATTAATATTCTTTGGTATATGCCAATCGTACCAAGACTTCAACGTCTTTTCATGGTCAAAGAGACAGCCAGATAGATGACATGGCACAAAACGGGCAAAAGAACTAAACTAGATGCAGATGGGAATGTGATGATGGGGCACACATCAGATGGTGAAGCATGGAAGTGCTTCGATGCATTACATAAGGAAAAACGGCAGATCCAAGGCATCCTCGAGTCGCCATTAGCACAGATGGGGTCAGTGTGTTTGGTCAGATGGCAGCCCCATGCAACTGTTG